GAAAAGAAAAGAAAAGAAAAGAAAAGAAGGCTCATTGCTCCTCCGTGCCTCCATGCCTAAAGGTTTTTCCTCTTTTCTCAGTGTCCGCTAGATGACAGCAGCGAAAGCCGACTGAGACAGCCCGTAACGGGCTTGCGGAGAAAACCGTCCCTCCTGCTAGACCCTCAGAGAGCAACGCAGCTAAGGAACTCTCGCTATTGGCTGTTTTCCTGGAAATTACAGAGCCCTTTACTTTTAGGCTGCCCGCCTACAGGCCTCAATAATTTACAAAAATATGTCTCTGCACTCTATGCGATGAACCTAAAGCAAATGTACATGGGCTGGAAAAAACAGTTAAATATTGTTGCTTAAATGTGAATAATTACTGAACGGTGTCAGCTGCCAGTCTTGTAGAATGCCTCTTAGTTCTTAATTTCATAAGCTGAATGGACCTGACCTTTCAGACAGGGACACCCGTTTATGCTGAAACTGCAGCAAGCCATGAAAGTGAGTCCCTCTGTGTATTTACAGCAACGTTCAATTTTGTAATAGGGATACTAATTTTATGCCAATGCTGCTCTGCTTTTGATGTTGGCTGGTTACCAGTTTAAAACAGTAAGCTTTTGAACCAGTTACGGGACAAGCTAGACTAGGCTCCAAGGAGTTACAGCACAAACAAGATTCAAACATCTTACTGTCACACTGTAATTGAAGGTGAATCCATCTTGACCTGAGTTAAAGCACTGCAAAGCTGCTGTAAGTGGGACATGTGCTAGAATTCAGAGGGGGCACTACACACCCTCTGCCTTGGTTCTATTCCTGACCTAGTCTATAGCATATTTTGTGTGAAGAGAGGTAGATCTGGTATAACCCCAACCTTCTTGCTTTCATGTATCTATGAGGTTCTCTTGTGTGAGTGAGGGAGATCTCCATCTCAAAGGTATTCGTAGCCTCTTTGCCCTAGTGTCAAGGTATAAACAGCTTGCAGCACAGAGCATTTTCAGAAAGGAAATAAATAATTTATATCTCTATTCACTCACTTTTTATTTTGGTCAATTACCTCATATTTTCGTTCTCCTAAATTATTCTGAGGTGTATGAACTTAATTGTCTGAGTGCTCTTAACATTTAATTTTAGTCCTTTCATTTACAAAGATCTTTTTTCACAGCATGGCTATATACTTTTAGTCTTTTCAAGTGTATTCTAATTCAAGTTTATAGTCTTCTGCCATGCTCAGAGTATTTGTCTATTTTCAGGATCAATTCCTTATGCTGCACAGGAACATTGCAAAATAGTGATGTCAAACAAATTGTATGTGTGGCAAAAAAAAATGGAATTCAAATAAAACAAGGGAGGGGAATAGCTTAATAAAAATATTTATTGAAAAAATTCCCATCAACATCATTTGGCTGTACTAAGTAAGCAAAATGCTGAGAGTGACTATGGTAATCAGGATGCAAACAGCTAGTACCAGGAACAGGATGATTCGGCAACATGTGGAATGCTTTTTTTCTCTCTCTTTCTTTTTTAACAAGGTATCATACCCAGGAGTATAAATATCTCCCATCCAGAACTGTAGATCATTAGGATTTTCCTAAAAGAAAAATCAGAAAATGAACTCAGTTCCTCTCTCTTGCACATAAAGTTATTGGAACATAGCCAGAAGTATTTTGGCTATCATCAGATGGTGATTAATGAATTTAAGGCATCACAACACAAACACAAGAAACTTTCACTTGAACATAGGTTGAGCTACTTGCCAGATGCTGAAAATGTTCCACTGGGGAAAATTAAAACCGCACTTTTCAGCCAGGAACCAAATGTAGGACACTAGTCATTGAAATGTGGTTAAAAAACCCAGAAGAAACCATGTTGTCTTCTCAAGAAGAGATGTCAGTGTATAAACACAGATCTGAATCCCTTTCCAAAAAACAGAACAGCAGAAAAATATTCACAAAAACATCCCTAAAAGTGGTTTGTGCCACAGGCAGCCAGGGTCCCACATAGTGTGGATGAGGCTGAGAAAATTAATGTTATCTGATAACAGAATAATGTTATGAACAGTTATTAAAGAGGGTATATAGTAATTAAGTGCCTCATTTATAGTTCTCCCCTGTATAAAATGGGGAAGCTGAGTTGCGCGGTGTTGCAGTTTAAGACTTTTTCTAGTCACAGGGGTCGTGCTCTGCAGAGCTGAAAGTCTAACTACTAGAATCTAACCAGATAAGTAGACTTCTTTTCCTGATCAGACTCATGTTACTGTCATGTCTGTACCAGAAATTACATCCGCATTTCATTCCGGAATCCCATCAAAAGATCCAGGCGGGCTGCACAGAGGTTCATGCACACACCACACAGCTTGTAGCAATTCACTTTGCCCAAATGCAGTGCAACAGCATGTTACAATACCTTTACGTGGCTGGCCAAGTTAGAGTGCAGTGAGTGTCTGTCATAGTCTTGCACAGTCCAGGAAGGGGTCTTTTTCTTCTCCTCCCAGTCATCGTCCATCTGGATATCACTATACAAGGGGTTGGTTTTGATTGTGGATTTCAGGGTGATGGGTGTAATGTGTTTCTCGAGAGCTTTCCCTATCATTTCTTGACTGACCCCATTTGAGTCTAAGCCCGGCAGCTCAGTGACAATTCTCTTTTCTCTCTGTAAGGCACAAGTTAGATCAGAAGTTGGCTTTCATCTTCATTCACCTACTATATCAGCCTCCTTCCAGAATTATAATTTGTATTACAACAGAATCATTTTTATAATTACACCTGCAACAATTTTTCTCATTCTAACAAACACCTATTCTGTAGTAAGGGAGCCTGACTGTTCACTCTGGGCAGATTTCTTCCTTCTGGGGAAAGCACGTGGGTACAATCTGAGCATTAAACTCTTTTGCAAATGAAAACTGACATTTCATGCCTGCTGAAAGAAAGCCTCTGCTTTAGCAAAACTGTGCTATGGAGCACTGCAGTAGAAGACACAGTTCTGATTAAGGCCACAGGTGTACAATGCAGAAGCAGAGCTGTAAAGACAAAGCAGAGGGAAGCACAGGGGTAATGGTGTGTAAATGACCGCCTTGACTGGAGCTGCACCTCTGATGGCACAGGTGTGAACTCTCCAGTTTAACCTGTTCAACAGTTTGGTTCATCATGACCTTCTGTCCCCAAGACTTTGAATTAATCTGTCACTGATCTGCAGTTCCATTGGTGCATCCATTGGTCTCTTCCTGAGAGACCTGCTTCTGGCAGAGCCCTTGCCTCACACTAACACCTCTCCCATGTCTCAGGACCACTTCCACAGAACCATCACTACAAATTCAACTTTCCTCATTAGCAAAGACCACTTCCCCATTAGCACCTTTGACCTTAGGAACTTTAAGTTGAGACAAGGGGAGACTTGGCCTGACCCAATGGCCCTGTGGCAGGCATGCTGGGAGGGGGGCATACCGCAGCCCTCTCCCTCCCTCAGAAATCACAAAGGTGTGGGTAGTACCCACTGCCAGATGCCCATAAAGTAAGTGCACATCATAAACAGTTGATGAAGAGGCTGAGAAACTTCCTTCCATGAAAGGATGTCTTTCCCTGGGTATTTCACTTATCTTTTGATTTCCAGCTGTTAAGGTGCCATGGGCTGGATGGACTTCAGCAGCCAAAGGGCTTGCTGCTGCTAGGGGCACATCCTGCTTCTCCTTCCACCCTTCTGGTGGGAGCCCAGGGGATCCCACCTCCTCTCACACAGTGTCTCTTGGAGCTGCTCAGATCCCACATCAGCCAGGCTGATAGCAAACTGTTAGCTTCTTCTACTTGAGTGGTTTTCTGTTCCCTCCATGAGCTGGTGAATCCACTATCAGTGGAAGCCAGCTGCTACACATCATCACTTCCTTTATGCCTCAGTGCCTATGCACACGCATAGACGTGTGTGGGTTGGTCTGAGGCAGGCAGGTGTAGAAGGAAGCAGGAGGACTGGTTTCCTTCCAAAAGGAAAGGTAGAGAAGAGAAAACCTTCTTCTTTGTCTAAGAAACCCTAGGAGAAACCATCATGCTGGCATTCTTATCACTGAATTGTGTACAACTGACTAAGCATGTTTTTCATCAGCAATTAACATTAGTAGGTGGGTGGATCCTCAGTGCCCTCGCAGTCCCTCTTTTAGTTCATCATTTCCATATGTCTTTCCTTAGCCTTGACATATCCCCTGACAATACTACTCTTTGCATTGCAGTTACAGCTGGTACTGAAGCCCTCTGGGTTGTACTGAACAGATTTCAGCTGAGCTGGTGTTTTTAACTGTTGTTTCTTTCTGAATGCTCCTTTTTTTTTTTTTTTTTAATTTGTCATTGACCTTAATGGTGCTTCCCTCAGGCTTGCTAGATAGTTGAACTCAGAGAACATTTTGTTGAAGAATGCGAACTGTATCACCAGGGGATGCTTAGACTCCCTAGGCTAAAATGTTGTGAAAAGAATGCAACTTGACAGTAATTTCTAAAGCTGTTTTAAATAAAATGCTCCAAAACTTGGAATAGATGGCATGGTGCAAAATTTGTTCATAAAGAGGGTGGTTTGTGGCAAAAATTTTTACCCCTTCCATCTGGCGTACCTTCCTTTTCATGGGCATAAGAATAGGAGAATGTGGTAGCCTAGAGCAGAGCTAGAGAGAGAATAGGATGGAAGGGGCAACAGGGTTTTACCATGAGAAATGGACCTGAATTTGGGGTAGGAGATAGTTTGCAGAAGTTTCAGAGAGCAGACTTTGAAATGCCAGGCTAATTGGGAGAATACACTTGAGTGCAGGCAAACATTTGGTTGTGAAACTCCAGCAGTAGATCTGTCCTAGAGACTAGTTGGGGAAAAGGAAGGACAGAAGCCTGAAGCACATACTAGGGAAAAAAAAAAAAAAAAAAAAAAAAAAAAGTTTAGGTCTAAGAAATGATACAGAGAAATATGAAGAAGACTGCATGAAACATATGCATCTATAGAAGTAGAGAAACAGAAGGATATTAGATAACAAAAAAATGCCTGCTAATGATAGTTCTAGCAAAAATGATGGTTTTTTTTCTTTTAAGATTCAAAACATCTCCCAACATTTTCCACAGACTTCTATATTTTGATTCTGATTCATGAAGCAATGTTCAAAGAAAGAGAAATGTATTGTAAATCTGGTTATCCATATACATTGCAGAATTTATATGATATACACTGTGTCTAAGAAGCCAGTGTGAATGAGGGTGGAACAGAGCAAATCAGAGGCAATTTATGTTACTATTTACTGAATGGAAGGAGGAACAGCAAATGCTCAAAGAAGCAATAGTTACGAAGAACTCTGAGAAACTGTAGCTGAAATGTGTCGACAAAATACTCATTTAACAAGATGCAAAATGCTCAACTCTGCAAAGACATTACTGCGCTTGATCTACATACAGCTCATGAGCAAGAAAGCTATTAAAGTCTGTAACTCTCGTTTCACTGAGAACAGTTTGTCCCTCTTTGACAGACCCAGAGAGCTGGCACGTACAAAAAGAGGATTCTGTGAAAAGCCTGAAGATCTATAGAGCATCAATGTTAGTTCCATCCCTGGGTCAAGATGCGCTTTCTCCACAGGTTTTCCTTGCTGATTATTTCATAATGCAAATTATGTGTATAGATATTTTACAATTTATATAATTAAAAATTATAAATTAACCTATATTGCTAGGAAACATTTTAATCTCATTTTTATCTTGAATTCATCTTTTTGTTATCATTGTTGTCATTGTTGATAGCACTGAAACAACCTCAGGGTCTAACCGTTCTCTCCTCTTACTGTGGTATAAGACATCAAGCTAATCACCCACCAAAGCCAGGACATCAACAGTGAAGGCTAGGCCTTGGCGTCAAGCACATCTGTCTGTCAGAAGAGATCAAAGAGATGCCTAAAAGATTAAGGAAATTTACTTCCTGCAAGTCAAATTTTTCTTTACTCCCCCCTCTAAAGACCTAGTTCCTCTTGTCCCAGGACCAGCCAGGGTCTCCAGCTGCAGCCAGGGGAGATACTCAACGAAATTGACAAATGCTCTCACTGGGCAACTACACCTATGAGTTTTAGCCAGGGGAGTCTTTAAGAAACTTAGGGCCACCAGATATTGCAGGATTTGTTTTGTAACAACCTAATGAAAGTGGGTAGCAAGGTGTTTATTATATTTGCATATCACTTGTTTAAGACTATTACCCTCTGCTGTGCAAAAGCCTTGTAACACAACCCTGGAGGACTCTCCAAGCACTTGGAAAGACATTTTTCTGATGTAGAGACCTGTTTCTAAGACATACAAAAGGTCTGACAGACAAAAAGCTGCTAGGTAGTAACCCAAGAATCCCTGTCATAGTTGTATAGCTATTGCTAGGCGTTTGGTCAATTAAAAAATCTCATTTATCAAGATAAATAATTATTAGCTCTTTAGAAGTTCCTGAAGAAATCTGATCTCATAGGGGATGCTGTGGAAAAGCAATCAGGGAGGCAAGGAGTAACCAAGGGTCAGTAAGCAGATCTGAAAGACAGTAGGGCAGGATTCCTGAGGATGCAAGTTTTCTTATTGAAGGAACCAAAGAGAATCAGAATTGCTTGTCAGAGACATAAGGCAGCATAATCACAGAATCACAGAATATTAGGGATTGGAAGGGACCTTGAAAGATCATCTAGTCCAATCCCCCTGCTGGAGCAGGAACACCTAGATGAGATAAGGTACTACAGACCAACCTGGGAGGACACCTAACATGGATAGGAAGGAGATCAGTAGGTGTTTATAAACACTTAAGCCGAAGTGAAAGGAATATTTAGAGAAAAGTAGGCATTCATATGGACTATTGTAATCGTGCAGCACTGAGAGTACTTCTGTCCTCATAGTGGATTGTTTACTTAAAGAAAGCTGTTTTATCTGTCATTGGTAATGGAGTTCTACAGGGTTGTGAGTGCATTATATAAAAACTTCTGTATGGTGTCAGACCAAAGCTCCTGCCAACCTTGCAGCTGGCTCTGATTGTGGCCAGTTGCAGACGTCTAGGGAAGAATAAGGGAAAAAAAAGTAGAAGTATGTAACACATGTATAAGCCAGAGGACAAACAAATGACTGTAACCCAGCATCTAATTTATAGGTAGAAAAAATCTCTCGCCCTGGTACACCGAGAAACTAGCAAAGGCAGGACACAGACATTAGCTCAGATAAAGACACCAGAAGAGGTTAGGAGTGCAGTTAGCATAACTGTAATGCCTGCAGGCTAAAATCTATTCAGAGTTATGAATTCCTAAGCAAGAGCAGCATGACAAGAAGTAGCACAGTGCTTAAAGACCAAATGTTTTCTGCTGTCTTACAGAAATAGGGAAAAAGGGGAAATACAAGCAGGAAAGAGAATTATGAGAACTTCAGAAAATGAACCAGTAAACTATGGGGGAGATATGCACCCTGGCTACCAGAGGCAGATACAGGGGATCAATCATCTGGTGTATGCTGAGCACTAAAACATGCTGTGGGGCAGAGAGTCCAGTGGGACAGGTAATTTTCAGGGTAATCAGAAGGTGGTCAGTAGCTAGTCATGTGCAGGAGAAGCAGTCTGTTCTTTTTATGCTCTTTTTCACAAGGAAGGACCAAGATTCCTGGACTGCTTTATGGTTTGTTTTATGTAAAGTAGACAATGAAAATATATGCTAAGAAGGGAAGCTTAGCAGTTCAGTTTGCCTGGTACAGAAGAGGAAAGTAAGGAGAAAGAGAAGCAATTTTTTGGTCAGCAACAGGGATTGTTTTTATGTCAAGCTGATTTTTATAATGGAAATAAACTTAAAAACTTACAGTTGGAGAAAACACCTAAGTGCTTAAGTGCACTTGAACTTAAGTGATCTCCTATGAAGGTCTGGAAAAGGCCACAAACATACCACTGAGAAGTCACTTTACACAGGGAGCTCTGAGTAGCAATACTTTCTTAAAAGAAAATGAATTTCTGAAGAGGGAATTTAGGCTACTCTCAAGGTTTAATGACCCTAGGAGTCTGTAGGTCATGCACATATGTTCTGAAATGAATTCTCCTCCCTCCACCCACCCCCCTTTCCGTTTCTGAATTAACTAACCCTTAACCCTGTTAGCTCTCTCATCTTACAGCAAAACATATTATTCCTGCGCCATTAGTTCTCTACTGTGCCATCATGTTTATTCTAACGTCTGGAACTCATCAGTTCTTTTCCCTTTATTTGATTGTCAGCAAAAGAGAAAAAAGTAGGTGAGCTCATAACAGAGGGAGAATAAGGCACAATGAATTTTATCTGGACAGCTTGAACTCACTAATGACTACACTTAAAAGTATAGGTTGTGCCCTAGGTTTAACATTCATAAAACATACTGCATAGCAAACTGCATTTCTGGAGACATGGTGAACACAGACATTTCCTTTGTAATGGCCATTCTAAGGCTGGGAACAGAGTTTCAAGAAAACCCTCTTGCTGTTGGCAAAGGGCAGAGCACAAGTCGCAAAAGCACAGGGCTCCCCATGTATTTTTAATCCTCCCGCAGCTCTGCAGCCCTGGCTCAGTGACAATGCGTCCTGTCAAACGACAATGGGGAGAAGGAACCCTGCTGCAGAGGAGGCTCTGTGTGTGGCTGCCTCCCTCCTGCACAAAAGAGGGGCTTAGGTGGGGTAGGGAGTGAGGCCAGCATTGCACCATACCCCATTGTTTGGGATCCCGCAGGCTCCTTCCCTTGGTTAGGGCTCTTTGCATGGGAGATGACAGGCAACCATGTCCCCCCGCCCCCGCAGCTCCCCTTGGGGAATCTCCAGCAAAGATTATACAATACGAGAAGAGGCAGCTGGAGGGATTGGGCTAGGCAGAGGGAAGGGTATCTGGGGTGGGGAAGAGGCTAGGGAAAGTAAGGGGGTGTCATAGAAGCGGGTGTCAGGAGAGAGAGGATTTTTGTATGTGGATGACTGGAAGGGGCTCTCGGAGGCAGCAGAGGGGTTTGCAGAGCTGATGGGGAGAAACATCTGAGAGGAGAGAAGTACAACTGCAAGTAGCTGTGGGAAACTTTAGCCATTGTTCTCTTCCCCTCCTCTGCCCCTGGCTGATGTTTTTTTTGCTCCCACTCTTCATTCCCCTGGGGAACTGGACCCCTACTCTAAGGATCCGCAGGATCCAGACCCTTCTGCACCCCCTTTCCCAACTGCTCCATCCCTTGACAAGAACCAGACCTTGAAGCTTTTGCTCATGCTAGGGGTGGGGAAAGGTGAGGGGCTCCCCAGGCAGCAGGCAAGCAGTGCTGTGGAGCAGCAAGTGGGGCCCAGAGGGGTGTGAGCTGATGCAGCTGTACTGCTGCTGATCCAGACATGAACTTCTTCGCTGGCTCCAGGGCCTCTGCTAGGCAGTACACATTCGCATTCTTACCAAGAAACTGCTGCTACCTCTATATATTAACCTGGTCTAACACAGCCAGTATGTTTCACACTTTGAACAGCTGTCTGTCAGGATAACGGTAAGGTCAAAGGAGAATGAGAAGAACAGAGCAAAATAAAAAGGAAGCTATAATAAACTATGTAGACATATATAAGCTTGTGAGACACTAGCAACAATCTCTAATGTTCTCTCTAATGTGCCTTTTCATTGAGTTCCAGGGATATGACCCGGCTTTCAGGTATAAGTCTGAGTTTTTTTCCAATTTCTTCAGAAAGTGCATCCCATTTGACCTGTTAGTACAATTAAAAGGCATTTGACGTCAGTAGTCTTTCTGGGAAATGCTATGAAAATCTTACAATGAGCAGTAGAAAGTCTAATGTACTGAAATAAAGTCAGCGGACCACCCTGAAGAGAATAACTCTTCTCTTGGAGCTTGATCCTCACTAAAGTCAATGGGAAAAATTATAGGGATAGTAGCAATGCAGATTCAGACATGCTGGAAGTTGAATCCACAGCTGAAGTCTCAACCTCATGTCACTTGTCTCCTGATCACAAAAATGAGGTAGAAAAAGCAGGAAAAATGTCCGTCTCTTTTAGACCTTACCTGTAAATAGACCCTGTTGTGCCACCGCTGCACTCCAGGTAAAGCTGCTTCTGGGAATTTTGCTAGGTTGGCTTGTAGAAAGGTCGAGTTTTTCACTAAAGACTTCACCTCCAGTTGCAGGAATTTGTCGGGATGGTTGTTGTTTGGCAAAACAGAGAAGTCCATGTTTCAGTCCTGTGGAGTAATAACAAAACCAGCCCCAGCTTCTGCTTCCTGGCTGTGCATGCTCCTTCTATTATTAATGACGTGAAGAAGGATACGACAGTTTCCTGAAACTGTATCTGACCCCTGTTTGGTGTCAGGCTCACTTATATCATCTACCAATGATAAAAGATTGTTTAGAAGCAGCAGAGCAGACAGGACATGTTTCTGTAAGTGCCTAGCTTAAGTTTTCAAGTTCAAGGTCTATTTTGATAGATACATGTGTGCTTATTAAAGCTAACAGAGTACCAGTGAGTAGATGCATGAGACACTTAAATGCATACCAGCACTTCCTCAAGTGACCTGCCAAAAATGTCAAGCTTACAATACTTCAAAGTAAGCTTTTTTCTCCAGAAAATTAGAAGCAGCTTCAAGTGCAAAGCAAGTTCTCCTTTTCTCTGTCAGTACTAAGAGGCTCCATTGTGCTGTGTGAGTCGGTACCACTTACCACAATGGCTATGACATGTATTTCTTTAGGTTCAGGGATTTCTTTCACAGTAAATTCTCCTTGACCCCGGGAAATATTAGATTGTTTCAAGTAATTGATAACAGAAGTTTTCAGGGATTGATTCTGCTCCTGTTCAAGTGACTGGAAAAAACTCTTACTGACTTGAATGGTGTACACTCAGTCCCTTCAGTTTTATTATTTTATTTTGAGATTTGATATTTTCATCATTATTTTATAAGTCCTAATTTCTTTTGACTTTCAGTGAATGAAAATCCTCTTCTCGTCATGGTCATTACTAACAAACAGCAAATGTAGTCTCCTCATTTTTATCTTCACCTTCTTTTTCAAACCTTTCTGTTTTTCTAAGGCATGTTTAATTTTTGATGTCACTGCCACAGAAGATAGGTTTTTGAGAGTACATTGTTTGAAATCCAGGAAAATCTATTTTGGATCAAATTAGCACTGAGAATTAGGGTATCACAAAAATTTTAACTTTGTACTTAGTCCAGAAAATCAGACCAATCTATTTTCCTTACAGAAGACTGCTGAAATTTAAAAATAAAATAAAACCAGTAAACTATATTTTTAAATATTACTAATGTGAGATCCTAATGTAATAAATGAATATTTGGCTACACATATGGGTTAAAACTCTTATCTACTTAGAAAGCTCATGATTTTTCCTTGCATGTATTTACTGGCAATTATTTTACAGCATAACTGTTAAAAATAATTATTCTGTCGCCTTTCAAGTAGATACTCTGATTCGAGTATTTGTGAGCAGCCACAAAAGACGTCTGAGTGGATGTGCATGCTTCTGGGGAACCTGCTGGTACATCAGAACTGTTTCTCCCCAGTGTAGTGTGAAACACTAACACAGGTGTACAGTGTGCCCTAAGGGACTACCATGAAGCTGCTGTTTCAGACCTACTGTGACACGTAGTCCTCCTTTTTCCCTGTGCAGAACTAAGACAGTAACAATTACTGTTCCAAAATACTGGGAAATATACAGCCATGCCTTCTTTCTTAAACATACACACCCTTTCCAGCATCTCTCTGAACACAGGATACTCTCCTGCTACTGCAGTATATGATGTGATGTGTGTCTGTCTGAATTTACTTACCAATGCCACTTTGTTTCATTAGACATGACATAAGCACATAAAAAAGGTCTCACAAGTATGACCCCTCCAAGCCCAGGATCTATTGCTATGTTTGAAAAAGGCAAGAAGAGATACTGCGTAGGGAGACTGGATACACCTGGCTACTTTCTGCAGTTCATTCTCCTTTTACTCCCCCAAGAAGCCACACAATTTGTTGTGCTAGTGTGTCTCCTCCCAGGCCTTTTAATTACTTATGGACTTGACGTCCATTAATTTGTCTACTTACTTCTCAAATCTTCTGATACAACTTTATTGGTAAGCAAGCTTCGGAACCTCATGACCATCTGTCTAAAGTGCTTAATTTTATGTGTTTTAAACTAATTCCTATACCAGTTTTATCAAGGGTGCCCTCTTTGTTGTACTGCAGGATTCTGAGAACAAGAGTTCCACGTGCAGCTTATCTGTCACCTTCAGGATTTTTTAAACCCTAACCATGTTCATTTTAGCCTCTTCCTCTCCAGTCTGAAATATGAATTTTTTAAGTCTCATCTCATAAGCCACGTGGTCTATTCCCTTGCTTATTTATTTGCCTTTTTAAATGTGTTACAGGGTAATGCCACTACATTGTTCAGGAGAACACAGCAACCGTACATTAATGCATTGCTCAAGCTGTGGATATAACCACAGTTCCAAAAAAAATGGGAAAAATGGGAAAAGTGATGCCTCTTCTGACAACATCTATCAGTTTTTGGCTTCCGCCCCCCGCCCCACTATTTTCATAGTATTAATAACTTCAGACCACAGTAACCAATGACACTATGATGTTTTGCTACCTCTGTGATTGCCAGTTGCAAGTTCAGTATATTGTAGGAATAATTTAGGTTATTTTCCATAGCTATACTACCTTACATTTATCCACATCAAAGTTTATTGGCTAATGTCTTGCCTAATCACTCAGTTTTGTGAGTTTCTTGCTCACAAGTGAGGCAACAGTTTGTAAACCAGAAGAGCTTAATGTCAACTGCAGAGCTGGAGATCTCAATTTTCATTCTCTTCCTCATGCCATTGATGAGAAAGTTGAGAAAACTAAATCCAGCATCATTTCTTGGGGAACCATACCACTGAGTCCTCTCCATCCTGAAAGATGACCATTTTGCTTTCAATCCTTTAACCAGCTTTCAGGCCACAAAGATTGCTCCTGTAGTCCTGTGTGAATATACTTTCTTGAATGTGGAACCTTGTCAGAGACTTCTGTGTCCACCAGATCCTCTTTGCTCAGGACATGGCTGAAGCCATGCTGACCATCTCCCAACAGACCATGATTATACAGGTGCTCAGGATTCTTTTCTTTATTGGCTATTATGGCACCAGAAAAGGAACTCAACTGTCTAGTCAGTAGTTCAAAGGAACCCTCCTTTTCCACAGGCAGGAATCATGCTGTAATCTGTCCTCTGGCAGAGTGGTTGTTTGAAACAACAGCTTACACACCAAGGCAAGAAGTCCTTTAATTTCCCAGTTGTGTTCTTCCAGGAATCTCACATGACTGCTGCCCTGGACACCTGTTAGCATCTAACATGCCTACTTGGTCTGACATTCTCAGCATGTATGGGGTAAGAAGTAAGCCCAGTGTGCACCAGCTAAGCACAAACCCTGTGCACCACTTAAATCCTACGTAATTCAACAAAACAGGATCTAAATGGGATTTAAATAGCAGAGGCCTACCCTAGCACTTGTGAGCTGGAGTGCATTTCACCTTCACTTGTCAGCTGAACTTGACTGATTTGACATTCATTAGCTGAAATTTTACATATTTATCAGGCTGGAAGGAAAAAGTCTTAATGCAGAGGGATTGTTGCTGAAAAAGAAAGACCAAATCCAACAAGTGAGCCAACTTGGATGGGAATGTCTATGAGCACAGAAGGCTTTCGCTTCCCTGAACACAGCTGGAAAGGGCTGCCTGCTGTCTCCCGGAGTGGTGGCAGGGCTCTGCAGGGCAGGCGGACGCATGCACACCCCACAGCCTGCTGGGACTCAGACCACAGACTGGGCACATACCCAAAATATTCTTACAGTTTTCTGACAAAACAGGTATTTTGGTCTGTGCTGCTTCTCTGAATGATGTCAGAGTGTATCAAAGCAGTAAAATTAGCTTGCTTTCAAATCTATGCAGAGAAGGAAGAGGCATTTTTGCTATGTAGACACAAAATTACTTCACAGTGATTTACACACATCCAACTAACAGCTCTGTACTACCAATGTTGAAGGAATCAGATTCAAAGCTATTAGCATCGTAACATCCTGATTTCAGTCATTGCATTTAAAAAGAACCTAATTTACTGTGCAACTTTCCATCCCTGGTTCCCATCCAAAAGTCTTTTCTTTTATGTTGTTGTGTAAGGGTGATGGGAGGATGATTTCAGCATAAGCCACTCATCTGTTTTCAGCGGATACAGGCAGAGTTAAAATGTACTTTTCCATTTTGAGATAAAGCCGATATTCTAGTTAGTGGAATATTCAGAAACAGCAGAGCATATGGATTCACAATTGTGCAGATGATCACTGGCTGATAAGACTGTCCTCTGGCCCCTCACCCAGAGACATCTTTCCTTTTGCTTGATTTTTAGTTGTGATTCAAGTGAGTACAGGAGTATTAGTAGGGCTGGGTTCTAAGTAAGTATGAAGAAAATTTAAAATAATGATTGTTTCTTTTGCCTATGAACTACAATAATTCTACTAGACTTTCAAATGTGCATCTGTGACATTGGGAAGTTATGCTCAAGATCAACTGAATTTTCTGTGAATTGAAACTTTTTAATGATACAAAATATAATTTCCCATTCCATGATGTCAGAGTTATTTTTCTTTTTTACTTTTTAAAACCAGAAGATATTTAATTTAAAATCATGCAGTAGCACATCATTAAAGTTGCAGTTTTTGGATGCACAGCAGTAAGATGCCAAACCAAAGATTTTGACAGTATAACTATTTGAAAGCATCTATGTTGGTTTCAACAGGAGTTAAGACTGCAGCTAAGTATTCTTCCTGGGCAGAATCACAGTCCTGATTGGGGGCCTCAGTTTATTAAATTGTGTGGATATCTATATCATATTGAACCAGCAGACTCTTTGCAGAGAATTAAAAGGAACAATCACTCAAGTAAGGATGCATTTGTTTTGAGTAGACAATATAATATGATGTCTTTCAGACTAATTTCTCCAGCTGTCTTGCCTTCGGGGTTTGTTCTCTTACATATTTTCAGAGCGTGCCTAAAGGCTTATGTCACATAAGGCAGAGGACCTGCCACCTCTCCTCTTGCCAAGTTCAGTGGTTATCAAACTAACCTGGGATAAATAACTTATCCTCCACTGAATATTAATCTGTTATACCCAACTTTCCATATACCAAGGCTCACAGAGCTGCATGTTTGCCTGCAGCAGCAGAAAGGTGCTGGTAGAGCAGGAGGTAGGAGGCATTTGTTGTAGGGACGTTGTAGCCCTACCTGCTGCGATGCAGGGCTCAATGGATTTGGCTGCCAGACACAGATGCCCAAAAAAGGAAAAACACAAATAACAAAATAAGCTTTACTTTTTATTGAAAATGTAAAAATCATGTGAATCATGTACAATATTTTCTCATAAGGAAAATTTTAGCTGTTTCACAACGTTTCACAAAACTGTAAAACATTTCATTTTTATAAAGACTTTTTAATAAAACAAAGATAAAACTAAAGTAGTATTACAAAGCCATTTTCTAAATTGTCAATAGAGGACTGAAAATGTTTAACAGATTAATTCATAAAAGTGGCAGGAGGAAGGACTCTTCCATTTGTAAATCTGCAAGAGGACACACAAAGGTATAGAGGGGCATGGGTTTTTTGTTTCAAAACGTTTAAAATCAAGTGACATGTTAAAAAAGTACAGACATGGATTCATAGGATGGTACAAGATCTAGGACTCCATTTCTCTACACTACCTCAAACAGTGCAACAGTGATTCAGTGTAAATCTCTACAGTGTTTCATTGATTCAATACTTGTGTTCAAGTATGTGTCCATGAGAATGATCAAAATCCCTACTTAGCTATTTTAGTTTTCTTGTTTATAATATAAATTACAGTAGATTATCCCCTTCAGTATGTTTATAAATCAAATGAACTGATTTCAAAATACATTCTGTAATAACCTGTTCAATAATGTTAGCTTACTTACCTCAACATCTGTTGTAAAATACACAAGCTCATTCTGACTCTGAGTGCCAAAAATATAATAGAATTAAAAAGAGCTTTATTTCCATATACAACAAAACTATGCAGCTAAATTAAAATAAATTCAAGATAACATGACTTTTGCTGGCAACAGAGAGACGACCCTACTGAAAATAAACATTTAAAATACTAGTTACTATTTTTTTTTAAATTCTGATAGATGTATCCAAAATTGTTCATATAAAAATTAATTATGAAAATGCCAGAGGATAAAACAAATTGGCTGTCTAACCACAACAATTAAGGATGTCTGGCAGGCAAAAATAAATTAATTTGATTAAATTATATGTAATCTGATAATAGTTGGCCTGAAGAAGTGTGTGTGTACGTGTGTGTGTTTATAAATAATAAGATTGCAAAGAGCTGAGAGCCAGCCAGCCTGACAGAGGTCAACTCTTTTGTTGCATTTTTTGCGCGTAAAAGTCCCTGCATGTCTCACAGCACCGCTGATACCACCTCATGTCTTGACAGAGGTTCTTCTCTCTTATCACCCTGCAGTACACAGGCCACTGGTCTCCCAGGCACTTGAATGTTAAAGCAGCTGTGAAACAACAACAAAATCAGACATACATAACTGTTACACTTATTAGTAAAGAATCAGGTAGCAAAGGTAACAAGGGCACCAGAAGTGTACCTGGGGAATGGAAAGGAGAATAGATGTAGATACCCAACAGAAAAAAGACAAAAAAAATCCTCCTGCTGTCAGTATTTTCAACATTAAAACTTTTTAAGGCCAGCTTAATTTATAAATTGGATTAAGTTCCATTGAAACTAATTGGTTTCATGTCATGCAGCTGCCTCCTCATGAGGGAGTGAAGCCCATCCTGCTGCCCTGTACCACGGTTTGCTGGGGCTGGGGCCAGGGCTGCGCAGGGGCTGCAGAGCCAGCTCCAGAGCCAGCTCCAGCAAAGCCGTGCAGAGCCGCAGTTCCAGCTGATGCTGCCCTCAGAAGCTGCCACTGGAAAAACAGGAAGCCTCAGCTTGAGTAATACCAGAATGGCGTTCCCAATGACATCTGTATGGGTTTTGGTTTTTGGTTTTTTTTAATCAGCAGCAAGTAGGGAAGTGTAGGGGTTAAAGCACAGCAACTGCTGCTTTTGCTCACAAAATAAAGACTTTGTGCTGTGTTGTCAATGAATGGAAGTTGAACAAAACTGCACGATGTCTTACATCATCTTTCTTTATAAGTGAAATAATATTCTAGACCTTTAGTTTTGTCTGTCTTCCTTGTTCAAAGGTGTGGTGGGTTGACCCTGGCTAGAGGCCAGATGCCCACCAAAGCCCACTCTATCACTCCCCCTCCTCAACTGGGCAGGGGGAGAAAATAAGATGGAACACAAGAGAAAAAAAAAAAACAACTCGTGGGTTGAGACAAAGGCAGTTTAATAGAAGCAAAGCAAAGCTGCGCGCGCAGAAGCAAAAGAACAAAATATTTATTCTCTACTTCCCATCAGCAGGCGATGTCTGGCCACTTCCCGGGAAGCAGGGTTTGCATACGCATTGCGGTTCCCGCAGGACAAACGGAAGTAACGAATGCCCTCCCCTCCCACTCCTTTTCCCTTGCTTTTATTTCTGAGCATACGTCATATGGTATGGAATATCCCTTTGGTCCGTCTGGGTCAGCTGTCCTGGCTGTGTCCCCTCCCAAGACCTTCCCCACCTCCAGCCTACTGGGGGAAATGTTGGAGAGACAGCCTTGGTGCTGTGCTAGCACTGCTCACCAGTAACCAAAACACTGGGGTGTTATCAACACCCCTCGAGCCACCAATACAAAACACAGCACTCTGAGGGCTGCCGCGGGGAAAATCAACTCCTGCCCAGCCAGACCCAATACAAAAGGAAAAGAAATACGTTGTCTTGCTAGCTTGAATGCTAGATGCCACAGAAAAGGAACTTGCTAGGTTGAATGCTACAGATACCACACTATGAGGCACTCTTAGAAGGTTTGAAGACAGTTAATGAGTCCCATGGTACAGTTCATTAAGCAAATCTATTTTATCTAGAAAAATGAAACTTACAGTATAAAATCAATGACAGCTGATATGTTGGCAAATACACTTGTCCAGGCCCTATTATTGCATTTTGTGCTTCTCAAATGCACAAATACCGTGTATTTTTTACCTTCCTGACCTTTTTCTCTCCTCTCCAAGTACATTAAAAATGGGGTTTTTGTTTTTAAATTTTCTTCCAATACATTGGTCTGACTGTATCACCCTCTTTTTAACCACTGCAATGGGTCTTCATGCCCGCATGTCAAAGTCAGGCTATTAATCCTTACCTTCACATCTTTTATGTCTTATCTTCACCCAGTTATTCAGGTTGCTCTATTAGTAAGTAGTTTGTTGCTGCTTTTTGACTGTGGGAATCCCTGACTACCAAATTGTTCTTCAGAAACCTTCTAAAATGACAAAGAGATCACACTAGCCTGAAAAGCCACTGTTTGGTTTACTCTACCTCCTCCCATGGTTCTTATGACTATTCGGTTCTCTCCAGCAGACATAAACATTCAGATGTAGAAGCCTGACTTTTGTGTGCCTGTTGTACAAAACAGGCACATTTTCATGTGTGTTGTCTTTTTTCTTGTGAGGCCATCTGTTAATCCACCCACCTTTTTCATTTACAAAAGCCTCTTACAGTGCTTTTCATAGAAGGACCCTGGTACCAGATTTGTGTCTTTTTGCACATTCAGTTATTCGAGTCATAGTGCATACATTGAATTAATATGAGAAAACAGTGAAAAATACGGCACAAAAAATAGACATCATCCAGAAATCATCATAAATAGTGACCTGAAAAAAAAAGATAATCTGCTAGAAGTTTTGAGTTACTCTCCTTTTTTTTCATAGAAAGGAAAGAGAAACTAAGAGTGTATTTATAAGAGTAGGGATAGTTCAATCTACATCAGCTCCCACTAGACCTACCCTCAAATCCAGAGGATCTATACTGCATAATAGGGATGGAACTGGAGGAAAAAATGATCAATATATTCAAGAGAAGTATTGCTTTATGTGTTTTGGAGGTGTTAATGTTTCTACTGGATTGGATTCTGATTCCTGCTACATGAGGTTGACCTGTAGATTACTAACATCAGTGCTACATAATCCATTCTACGAAGGCAACGCGGCCCAATCTTTTTTTGGGCGCTACACATTAAGTAAAATTTTAATGAATCTGAGGCTCTATTTTTTCTATGAAACTTTATGATTCACTTTACTCTGTGACACAAAGCTGCTTATACCTCAACAGAGGGAGAGCATCAGTGATAGAGCGATGGCCTTTTGCTTCTGAGAGATCAGCTGGACAAAGATAAAGTACAAAGGGCAACCTTACAACAGTGAAATTGCAGAGGAGAGGGCCATGAGCAACAGCTGCCAGCTCATCCAGCAAACTGAAATGATGACTACTACACAGAAATGTTTAAGGGTTAAAAACTTCAAAGAGAAATACCCTTCACTGACTTAAAGGAAGCATTACATACAGCCTGAAATGTTAGACTTGGTTTCCATGCAGGAGTAATCTATTTGACAGGAGGGTTTATCTTAACAAAGGCTCTAGAAAATCACCTGGAAAGGGTATGCTGTCTTACAGCAAGCCTTTGAATATTCCCCAGTCATGCTCAAAAACCAGATGAACCATTTGGGGAACTAATGGTAAGACCATCATCAACAACCCACTAGGAAATAGCAATTAACAGTTCTGTAGTTATGCAGTAAAATAATTTTGTCAAGACCAGCACAGACATATGTTCCTCCAGGAACAGCAAATCTCTACATGTTAGTAATTTTCCTTCACATGTCCTAATCCATCAGGCATAGACTGTAGACACTGGAACTACAGACAAGTGGAAAGAGCTATTTGTATTTGACGAGCAAATAAGGGCCTCTTTGATCTCATAAATATAATGAGAACATAGTTTGCAGAGATCTTAAAAAGAAAACAAGGTATTTTCTTACCGTAGAAATGTTTTATAAAATTGAGTGGACAAATATATATAAACTTATATAATAAGTTTATAATGTCTCTAATATAAACATGCTTTAATCTCAGATGTTTTGTGTCCATAATATCATGCAGTCCCATAATATGGTCTTTCCTTCAATAACAAAACCCTTCACCATTCTGAGGTACAGTCTCTGATGTACAGATTGGAAAACTGAGGGAGAGTGATAAATCTCTGCATAGAATTTACATCTCCTGAGTCCTGGCCCTCTCTTTTTAAACTGGGATCATCATTCCTCTATAAAGAGAAAAAAGTAAAAAGATTTTCAGTGTCAACGTGTAATTGTGACTGCTTACCTAACCTGGGTGATGTTATTGTGTTAACATTAATTTTCTCATTGCAGGGGTGGAGATGACAGGGTCTGTAGGCTGCAGGTTTTTCTGAGGAAAAGCATTCATTCCCGTGCCTCCCCGTGATCTTGTGCATGCACTGGATGACTCGGGACTGCATCCCTTTGCCACAGCTGACGGAGCACTGGAACACACAAAAGACACACATTCATTGGAAAGTTATTTTTGACTGTAAACATGAAGGTAAAATGCCAGTCCAGGTGAAGTCAGTGGTTGCTCTTTTGGCTGTCAGCATTCCATTAGTATTGCCTTCCATTCTGTTAGCTACATGAAAATCAGTTTAAAAAGCACAAATAAATTGGCAGCATTTATTGAAGGACTGATTCCAGCATCCTGTTGCTGTCAGGGTCAATTTTGTAGAGCCTGTGATGAAACTGAAATGCAGTAATGTGCCTGAAGGGAGCAGGGGCTGTTCTACACTATCTGTATCCTAATTCACTCTTATTAGAGGTGAAGGTGATGGAATAAAAGAAAATGTCTGCAGACACCGACAGAGAGAAGCATTTTTAATTAAGCCATTACTCCTGCCAGTGCAAAAGTACTCTTTGTGCTGAGCTGAGTGCATGCCTCACGTCTTTGCATCACATCTCTGTGTTTTCACGTGTGTCCCACAAATGAAACGCACAAAGTGAGACATGTTGCCTGGCTTTTAATCAGCCTTCTCATCTTGTTGCCACAGAAAATGAGGTGAGAAAATAAAACAGCTGAGCAATGTAACAATGGTAACATTCTACTTGTAGTAACATAATATATTATAATGAAAACTTCAGCAACGCTATACAGATGCACACAAAACATATTACAGACCAACACAATACATACTTTCCATTTCACTGATTTTTTTGTGAACAAAATTTCATAGGACATGAATTATTTTTGTGTCCACTGATATACATTCTAAAGCTTTAACTACAAATTCATTAAAAAAATTTACACATTGCGATTTGCTCCTATCTGCTAAGGATTTCGACTCAAGCCCACAGATTCAGTTGTTTTGGAGAAATTTACTGTAGAGGACATCTTCAAATATTAATCAATTTCATGCAATGAATGATATGAGCACTGGCTGAAAATTTATGCTGCTATCATCCACATAATCATGAAAATTTTTTGCATTCTAAACTATCTTAATTACATAACTATTCAGAACACATTTCCTTAGGAGGATTCAAGAAGCAGCTAAAAAAATACTGAAATGAGAGAGAAGGACAAGAGGGTGCTAGAACAAAAGAGGTTTCCCAACCATCCTGTCTCAAGATGGAGATGGAGAAGTATAGTTTTCTGAAAAGAAAGAATAAATTTTGAGTATAGGAAACACTAAGGGGGTTTTTACCCTTTAGTTTTGTAATCTACGCGCTTTTGAGTGATATTTTAAACACTCTTACCTGGAGGAAAGATGTACACATGCCAAACGGGAAAGAGAGGGCTTAGCACCCAAATATGTACATCAAGACAAGTGAGACTCATGTCTTTTTGACTCACAACTCTCCAAGTGAGGTACAAGAGACTAGGATATACACTCGAAGGGTGTTTTCACAAGGGACTGAAGAGGGTTCAAAGCACATTTCAACTTATAACCACGTGAAATCAAACACTGGCATTCTATAGAGGCAGCAAGTGGTTGATTTTGCTTCTGTTCTCAGTGACGTATATCAGGAGTAACTCCACAAAGTCAATAAAGAACTTCAATTTCTTGCAAATTAATCAGATACAGCCTGCATGAGCCAAGACATGCAAAGATATCCAATTATGAAGAGATAATTTTCTATTCAATAGCAAGCACAGCTTAACATATGAACCAATATGCTGTTCGCAGGAGGGCATCCACCTAGCACTGAAGTCTTTTCAAAGTAGAAGTCTGTCATCAACTTTGAATTTAGTTTACTGCTTTTAAATAGCATGAGGAAAAGCCTCTCAACAGAATTCTTTTTCTTGAATTCTCTACATTTTCCCTATGCAGCTAAAAATAATTTGGCTTCCTATAATGGCCAACATTATGCACGTGGTAAACATGTATAATCACACATATACATACTGGAATTTAATCACCAAGAGCAGCCAAAACATTGATCTTAATCTTGAAAAAATTCCAGCCACTTACTAGATTTCTCTCTCTGTAATTTCAGAGAGTTTTCTCTTTGGAATATTTTAACAGAATAGCAAGTGAGACAATGGAATAGCAAAATTTTAAAAAATCACAACTACAAAAAAAGCCCCAAACCTGAGAATGAATGAGAGATGAAAGTAATAAGATGAAGTTAATCTTTAATATTATCACAATGATCTTAATTTAAGAGTAAATTGCACACAGTATTGTATTTCTTTTTCCCTTAGTAAAACACTTGCATGTTTATCAAAAAAAGCTAGAGTATGCGTGAGCTTGTAGTACATATGTATCTTCTTTTATCAGCTACAAAGGAGGAGGACAGGACAGGCAAGTGGATCTGCTACATAAGATCTCCTAAAAATAATATATCTGCCCGTAACCTTCAGTTATCCTAAAATGAGTACATGCAATCTACCCATCTGGAGTACTGGACGGGAGAATGGGATTTGAAAACTCTAGACTTCTGCTGACAAAGTGGGCTCCAGTGCTTTATCTGCTAATTGATAATGCATGACAATTAATGTATGCAGGTGTCTTTGTGAAAAGCACTCTGGCAGCAGTCATATCTTCTCTATATCAAATGAGCTCTGGCCTGAAAGCTTCTTATGACTGCAACTGAGACAATATACACCATTCAGACAATCTCCCTCTTGGCTAATGAACATTTAGGTCCTGAGTTTCTATGCATAACTTAGCAAGATTTTGGCATTAAAATCTTAATTGGTGAATTAACATCCCTTTAATGACTGAGCCACTATTGGCCTTTGTCAAATATTTCAAAGAGCACTATGAAGTATTACAATGCAGTATTCTATCTAAAGATGTATAAAGCTTGCAAATAATTAATTTTAGTCTTGCATGACCTACTTACTAACATCTCAACTTCAGAGGAAGAAATTCACACTAAAGGATGATAAAAGTAAAATGTTTCCATTCATATAGGAAATATCAAGCAAAGCAGGAAATAAAATAAGAAATTTGGCTCCTGCTGTATTTTATTTTCACAGAAATGTACTAATTTTTAACTTTGTATTTATTCTTATTTTATAAAACTGAGAAATTTTATTAAAGTCTTGTAAGATGTTTGGGGAAAACTGTGAAGAGGTAGGGCTACCACATTGATTTGTAATCCAAAAGTTTCAACGCCAGCCTGATCAGTTTACAGGTAAAGAGAGAATTTTCTAAGCCACTAAAGTGTTTTAAAATGAACCAGGGATATGACAATCAGTTTGTGCTCTTCCCTGTTCACACATCACCATCAGCAGCAGTGTCTGCCTTCAGAATTATGAATTCTATTGATTGGAAGCCAGAAAAAAAAATATAAAAAAAATTCCATATCTATATTATCTCACATTCAAAGTAGTATGAAATGGTATGAAACAGGGAAAAGCACACTTCAAATATGGCATTGAGCAGTGCTTTTGCTAACTACATAGACAAACAGTGAGATTTCTGTTTGTCTCCATGAATTTGTCTTAAACCTGAATCTGTGCTGCATACACACCAGCCAACTGCTGATATAACTGAGAGCAGCCACTAAATATTGGAAGATAAAAGGCATCCCTAATATTTTTCTTTTTCACTCTGCACAAGTATAGACTTGGTCCAATATCACTGGCAGACACCTCAACCCCTGCAAACCAGCTAAATGCAACTCAGAGCAACAGCTCTGACTCTCATTTTGACACTTATTTTACTGCATATGCATGTGTACATTATAGCTGAAGCAGACTCTTCCAAAGCTGTCTGCTAAGCTTGCTTCACTTTTGGATTTCTCTCATTGAAAATATTCAGCTGAGGCAAATACCTCTCACTGGATGTTCAGATGTCACGTTTTAGGTAGTAAGTAGCTAAAGTTGCACAGCTTCTGTATACTTCTGGAGTTTCCATGTTTAAAACTTTAACAAAGCAAATAAAAAAAAAATTCACTTTTACATTTTAAGCAGTGGATTTAATCAGAAAGCAATCTATCTGTCAAAGCTGCTTATATTTCCCATTATTTTATGTATAGATATATTACATATATAAAATATACAGAAAATGCGTACTCCAAAGCAATCTGTAGCAACTTACATCAATTCAGCAGATCTAAGATTAATTTAAACCCACAGCTTTTATTACTAGTGAATGCAGAATACTCTTGTAGAGCTCTTCTTCCCATCTTCTCCACCTCCCAGATGTCACTCTTGCACGTACTACACTTCATTTTTGTGGTGGTTATTTACATTTTACTTCTGACTGTTCAGATGACCTACACTTTAAGGCCATGCAGCTGATTAGCAAAAATTCCTGTAGTACAACTGTGTTTGTAGGTTTAGACTAAATGTTTGAATATGCAGCCAGAGGTTTTTTATGTGGCTGTTAATCTGTGCATTTTGGACACAATCCTAAAGGTACTGTAAAACCGTTCAAGCAGTAAGACATGTAAAACATTCCTGTTGAAGATTACAAAAAAATCCTGAATAAATACAGTTAACAGCTATTTTTTTGGAAAGTTTTTCTTTAAAATAAAATCTACCCACCCACCCACCCATTTTGTCCTACTTTTGAACTTCTTTTAGACATAATTTCAGGGACAGAAACATAGGTGTTAAATATAACAATCCTTATACTTGGCATGCACACCCATTACCCATGATTCCTTCTTTCTGTTCTCTGCCAGAAATATATATATTCTGGAGAGAATACATATTCCCAAGGCCAACAGCTGAGGAAGGTGCTGTAATGCCTTAGCTGCTTCCAGCTGGCCTTCCTAAGAAGTAGGAATTCCTAAATTAAGGGAAAAATTGTCTCTGGCAGACAGTAACGGTCAAAAGGCATCTTTCTGCCAAGATAGCAGGCAATCACTGCAGAGGCTGATACAATCCACAATGAAAAACCCAATATGTGACAATATTAACAGAATTAACTTGGACAATTTATTTTCAAGAATAAATGGATTGTTCAATAAAAGGTTTTTACAAGTCTAAGTAGCATTCAAAGTGGAGAGTGATGTTCTCATAAGGGAACTCAATGAG